TTTTTCTCCTGATATTTTCTTTTTAACCTTTAAAAGGGATTCCATCCCCAGTACGCTAGTAGTTTTGTTGTATGGAAGTGAAACATGGAATACCACGCTTACTGAAAAAGAAAATTTTAATGGTGATATAGCGGGATGTGGGATGGCACGTGTTATTTAGCTAAAAGTCTGGCCCGACTTCAATAAATTACTGTATTCCGGTCCAATATAAGCAGTATTACCAAGGCAGAGTACACTAGGAAGAGGAGTGGAGCTGGTCATTTGGCAAGAATGAGAGACAACAGATGGACAAACTGGGCGATTCCGTGGCACTCGTACAGTGTTTAAATTATGCGGAGAAAATAAGCAGTGCACTCAAAATATGCTTGAACGCCTATGTAACATTATTTGGGCGTGACGGGCCCAAAATTGTTAAGAATGGAGAAATTCTGGCTTGAGGTTATTAAATTAGCAGAACATTTCTCGTCCGTCTGGGAAATCGTATACCTAAATCGAGTTGTTTTTAAATCAACTTGTTTGTCAGGCCTTAATTCGGTGGTCACTTCGGTTTTGCGCAAGATTCTTTTATCGATTTTGCATGGAAATTCATATGTTCTTTCTCTACTTTTTTCAGATCATGGCGGAGCAACGTTTAAAGGATACGGCACGAAAATACGTGGAGCAGCTGAATAACTCGAAGTCCAAACAACACAAACTTATGGCACAGCTGCTCTCTTCGGCTGTACTCAGTGCACCGGGTGAGATTTTTGCACTAATTAGCTTCTGTAAGTGCTTGGAAGACGCATCCGTAGTCTCACGGTACTTCTCTGCGGATTCAGCTCGCAACCAATATTAAGGGCCTAGAACAGCTGAACATCTCCAGTTCTTTGACCAGTGCTGCATTATCTGCTAATCCGCTTTATATAGATCCTAAAATTCGTTTTTTTCGGCAAAAGGAGCACGAGTTTAGCGATTCTCTGAGCAGAAGAATTTTTTGCAATCGTTTTGAGATGCCCTTGAGGTATGTTGAGCCTCATCGCTTTTCCGACCGCTGTTGCTTTTAGTTCATAATGGGGTTGCTTATCAAGATGAGCTTCAAGGCCTCTCCGTGGCCCACGACACCCAGTTCTGTAACAGATTAAAAAGCAACTTGACGCAAATGCATCTCACGTAAAGTTTTTTTGAAATAGAACAATAGAAGGATTTCACTTGAATGTCATGTGTATGAAGACATTTTATGACGCAGTCTGTGTTTCATCCGCTAGCTGTATAAACAGACCGAACTATGCATGCGGGTAAAAGTGGGAATCATCAGTACAGCCTCCTAGCCGCCATGTTTTGAATAGTCATGTGTCTAAAATTGAATACTTTTGTGACCAGTTCATCCCAGTCTAGATATTTCATAATCTGGAATCGGATTTTTTCGCGTGCCCGATCCAGGCTACATTTATTCCTGCTATGTCAATAACCGGCAGACGTTCTTTTTTTTTTCAAAAATCAAGAAAAGTATTGAAATTTTAGAGGAATGTTGTGAATTTACAATTTTTTCTGCGCTTATTGGATTGTGCGATGTATTTTTTACAGCACTTCCCGAACAAATGACAAAAGCATTGGTAAAAATATCGGTTGCAACATGTTTTACCCGGTTCACCAATCGACAGTCACAAACTGCTGTTCACAGTGTTTTATCAGCTTTAGTACAAAAAGATGCGCCGACTTCGATGAGCTATCTCACTGATGCATTCACGTCGTTCTTTCGACCAAATATAGCACCTCCGTAAGTTAGCTTTTTTTCCGCCCTAAATTACTTTATTAATTGAATAGAAATAGTGATTGAATAAAAATAATAGCAATTACGAGCGAGACCACAATAATAAAGATAAAAATGGAATAATAGCAATATGATGATATTAATTATAAAACAGAACAGTGATGAGAGATGATAATAACAGTAATAATGATAGTCGTGATATTAATAATAATAATAATAATAATAATAATAATAATAATAATAATAATAATAATAATAATAA